ACAAATGATTAAACTCAATTATCTCAAAATAAAATTTATGTAAAAAAGGGCTGTTTTAATAGATAACACCCCATATGATCGTTTGGATCGTCTGATTTGATTTCCGGACAATCACATGATCATCCGGAGCGTAAAAATAATTTAATGTTAGAGCGTTAAAGTTAGATGCTAAGAAATAAATGATCACTTCCTAATGTAAAATTTCATTCCCATCATTTTTAATTAGTGCTTCAAGACTGGCTTAAACACGTGTTTCCTTGTATTTTCGCTTTTTTTCGTGTTTTTCTTCGTCTTGCTTTTTTGCAACCTGGTAATTTGCAAATTAATTTCATTATTCATAAAAACTGATAATTATCGAAATAATTATTTATTAATGAAAGCAATTTTATGTGATGGTTTTTTAATCATCGAAAAATTTACTGTAAATTGAGAGACCAATTGCTAAATTATTTACTATACAAACCAAGTAATTTAACCTTGCAAGTTCTTTACTATTAATAATTTTTATTTTCAAAAAATTATTGTAAATAAATGATCATTGATTATAATAAATTTTTATGAATTGTATAAAATACATCTGAATAAAATACAAATACAAAGACTTTGCTTATATAATGATTCGAATTAACAAAAAATAATAATGACACAAATAGATATTGAAAGTCCTCAGAAAAAAAAAGAAAATGTTTTACGTTTATAACGACACCTAATTTTACATAATTCCACCCAATTCTAAAATCATATATATATATATATGTATATTTTCCCTGTTTATATATTTAAAATTATATAATATTTTTTATTCTTCTTTCTCTTCGTGATTAATTAATTCTAAATCACTTTTAGTTGAACCTTCCAAAATACTTTCTGCATCATCATTTTTAGAATCATTTTCACTTTCTTCATCAAGAACATAATTTTCATCATTTTCATCATTTTCATCATTTTCATAATTGTCATCATTTTCATCATCATCAGTAATTTCATCATCATCAGTAATTTCTTTATCATCAGCATTATTCGTAATTAATTCAGCATCAATTCCTCTACTAGAAAAATATCCATTCTTGGCTTTATTTGACCATTTTTGTTTCATTTTTTCGATACTAATCATTGTTTTTTTCCTTTTTGAAACACCTTGTTTTCCATACCAAGTCATTAAATACTTTCTAATTTCATATTTACCATCATGATGTTTAAATAAATGTTCAAAGAAACCATATTTTTCTTTTGATATTATGATTTCTTCGACATTGTTATCATATTCATCATCACTTTCAATTTTAGTAAAATTAACACCACATTCTTTTAATGCAGCTATTATACTTTTCGGTTCACTAAGTTCGTAAATTCTTTTTAAAAGAATTTTTATCATTTCAAGTCGTTCTAATTGAACCGCATATACTAAAATGTTTTGTGGATTATTTGGTTTAAACATTGGAGTTTTAGGAGTTGTAGGTGATGGATTAAAAAACAAGGATAATCTATGCATTGAACGAGGACGTGATCCTGTTAGAGGAATTTGAGTATTCAACGCTGATGGTCTTAATAATGATACAGGAATATCACGTGCGGTTAATGTTACACGACGTCCCGAATATTTTTGCGTGGGTATTGGTGGTAATGAAGAAGTTGGAGGCAAAGGAGAAGTAGGTGGATTCGATAATAATGGAGGTATTTTTATTGGAGTTTCAAATTTTAAATTTTTACCTTTTAATCTTTTAGTTAATAAACTTCCACCACCTTGATTAGATGGCAATACGGGAGATTCATTACCATCATCATCAATTTCATCATAAATCGCATCAATTTCTTCACTATAATCAGTATTTAAAATACCACCTCCACTAATAGTTCCGGGATGACCTCCAACACCAGCACCTTCAGTTTCATCAACTTCATCAGTTTCCTCATACAAATCATCATCTTTTTCATCATCCTCTTCATCATCATTTTCATCATCTTTTTCAGGATGTTTTCCTTTAACCTCTCCTTCAAATTTTAATAATTCATCAGCATATAATTTTCCAAAAATTCCACTTTCTTCACTTGCCATTCTATTTTTCTTTCTTCGTTTCTTTTTAAAATCATCACCCCAAGAACCAAATTCACAACCCCATTCAATTAAAAGTTCAACCAAAGTTTTTTGTTGAGATTTTGATAAATTAGAACTAATATCAACACAAACCCAACCTAAATTTCTTAATCTTCTACCAGGTATAACAATTTCATGATTACATTGACCACCACCTTTTAATAAAATTTTTAAAATTTTTAAAACTTTTTTAAATGGACCACCACCATTTTCAAATCTTGTAGCTAATAATGTATAACCTAAAGGAGTTCCACCTCTTATATTTTCTAAATTTGGATTAGCACCTTGTTCTATTAACAATTCAATTATTGAAGGTGATAAATTTGGATGCCATTTAAATAATAAAGAAGTTAATAATGTGTCACCAGTACACGTTTGAGAATTTATATCTAATCCTTGTTCTAATAAATATAATAATACTTTTTTAAAATAAATTCCTTGTGTATTAAGGTGAGTAAATGTTGTTGGATTATATGGTGAATAATTATTGGATTTATAAGAAGCAGTTAAAAGTGAATTGTTTTGTGATAAAAAGTTTATACAACTTCCTCCGGTATATGAATCTATACAATTTAAATTGCATCCGATTTTTTTTAGAAATATTAATGTAGGTAATAATTTTTTGGCCGGGCAATACATTATTGCTTCTAATGGTAACGCTTCTAATGGTCTTCTGTAACTATAATTTTTATATTTAAATTAAAAAAAGCGTATAATAATACTAATTAATTTAATTTATTTTAATTGATTTTAACTGATGATTATTATCTTACCTATTTCTAGGTCCATTAACTTCTTGCACCCCATTTAATATCAAATCTCCAGATTGTTGAACATGCCATCTTATGCCCTCTAAATCACCAATTCTTGCATGATAAGCAGCATAGCATGGTTGTGAATTTATTTTCCATCTATTTTTTAAAAATAACATTTTACAATGATCGCTATATATATCTTTAATAAATAATATAAATAATCACGTGTTAAAAAAATTTGAATTAGAATTTAAATATATTTACTATTGTTTAAAAAAATAAAGCGTACTGTAATAGTAACTTACAATTTTTTGCAGTTGCTGAAATTTCATAACGTATTGGTCGTCTAAAGGTTGATGGTCCAGGTTCACCAATTTCTAAATTATCAAAATTGTCACTTGGTTTATGTGATTTATGTGAAGGAAATGGACCTATTATAATAATATACGAGCAATGTAAATAAAATGACTAATTTTTTTCTAATTCTTATTAACACACCCAACACAAATAAACCAACACGAATAAACCAAATCTAACTCTAACAAACCAACACGAATAAACCCAACATGAATAAACCCCGCCATGAATAAATAAAGAAAAATATGTTTTTATTCAAGCAAATAAAATATCTGACAAAAATAAAAACAATAAAAATAAACTCTATAAAGCTAAAGTGTAGATATCTTTTTCTTAATTTCATCTATACATAGAATTGTAATAATTATAATGATTGTTTATGTAATTTTGTTTTATGATAATTATAATGTTTTTATAAAAACAAAAGTTCTCAAATCTCATCTCCTTACTTTTTAACCCACTTTATATTTATTTGGTTACAATTCAAACCGCACTAATTAAAAAAAGGAAATAGATAAATATACAAAAAAGAAAAAACAAATCTCGATATCCACACTTTAAGTAGACTATGTAACTTGCTATATTTATATTTATATTTATCCTTTCTCCCAAATATTTTTAAAAGTGTTCACTTTCTTTTTTTAAAAAAAAAATATAAAGAATATTATAATAACCCAATTTTGGTCAAAAAAAACTTTATCTTACCATGACCCATTAAACCATTATCAGATTTCTTTCCATCGGTGGTTTGAGAGATTTGATTGTTATATGGATCTATTTTACCAATTTCGTCTTGATTCATATTTTTTTATAAGGATGAAACGAATATATTTTTTTTTTAAGGTTAGAAAATAATTCAAAACTTTAAATCATTTAATTTCTTTTTTTATTCGTGTTTTATGCAGTCACATATGATTCCCAAAACTTGTAAAACGCGATAATGCAGTAATGCAGTAATTTTAATAGTTGTTATGAAATTACGTCAACATTCGTCAACATTCGTCAACATTCGTCAACATTCGTCAATATTTCAAATAATTCGAATCTAATTCGAATAAATTTCGAATAAGTCGAACTGATCCACTTTGAACATTCGTCATTCGTCATATTCATCATAATAATAACGTTAATAATGTCATATGACTACTCGAAATATCCAGACAATCGAATAATCTAACAATACACGAAATACACGAAATAACACGAAATACACGAAATACACGAAATACACGAAATACACGAAATACACGAAATACACGAAATATACGAGATATACGAAATGCAAAAAACACGAATAGCGCTTATTTTTTCCCTCAACATCTGACCATGATTCAGCGCATGCAGTTTAAATTAATAATTAAAATAGAAATTATACCTATATTTACAGAAATCCAGCCAGCTGCAATATCTTCTTCGTCCAATCCATCTAATAAATTTATTTAGACGAAAATTAAAAAAATTCAAACGATTTTAATTTAAATCATTAAAAGTATTTTTTTTTTTAAAAAAAAAATCGAATTTTACCTTCATATATATTTAAATCTAAGTCTTGAATTCGAGATTTCTATAGAATTCAATAAATTATTGATTAAACCTATGCACTAACAATAACCAAATATAATCGAATATAACCGAATATAATGGAATTATAATCGAATTATAATCGAATATAATCGAATACAAAAGAATAAGATATAATTATAAAAAATCTAAAAATATAATATACTAGTTACAGATCAATAATACTTACTCGTCCTGAAAGTCTCTTTACAAGATTTTTAGCTTTGTCTTTCCATTTTTGACCTTTCATTCGTTGAGCTTCTAGATCCTTTTTATATAAATTTTTATATATATATAATCAACGATCAATTGATAAAAACGTCAGATTTGCAGAATTAAGTAATTACCTGGCTTTGTCGAATTTGTTGAGATCCTGTTGATATATCTTGATCTTTTTTTGATGTTTCTGGTTTTTTTTTTAAAAAAAATTATAATTAAGAATTATGATTAAGATTATAATTAATTAAATCATAACGATAATAAATTATTGGTATATAAATATAACCAATAAATTTTCAAATTTTGAAACAGCGAATATATATATAGGTGAAACATTTACCTTCGATCTGTTGGCCAACTGATTGCTCAACCGATGAATAGCCATATTCTAAGAGCAATAAGCAATAAAATCGATAAAAAAAAAAAGTTATTACGTATTCAAATTCATTTAATGTTAAACGGACTCATGATAAATCATAAAACATGACAAAAGGGATAAATTATTTATCCAGTCTTATGTAAATCATATGCCAATCGTTCAATCCATTCTAGAGATGGGCATATGTTCATCAACACGATTTACCAATTTACTAACACGTTATACCAATACTAACACGTTATACCAATTGTAAACAATGAAAATTACCCCCTATCTGTTTTTTTTCCATTTATATCATAAAAATAATGATGATTTCGTACGTACCATGTCCATAATATTCATCCCCTTCTTCAATTAATCCCATTCGTCGTTTTTCTTCAAGTTCTTTTTTTTTTTAAAAAAAAAAATTTAATTAGATAAAGATAAACAAACAAAAAAAAAAAAAGAAAAAAGTATAGATTTTAAATAGATAAAAGATTTTAAAAGATAAGAACCTTGATTACGTAGCCATAATTCAGCCGCTAAAGCGTCACTTTGTAAATCTGCCCAATCTATTATTAGAATTTTTTTCACTCGATTCACACCCAAACGCAAAAAAGGGACCATGTATTTCACACATGATAAAAAAAAAAGAAAGTTAAATACCAAAATCAGACATCCTAGTCATTCTTTTTGAATTCTGCTCCGTCACTACAAAAAAAAAAAAAAAAAATTATATAATTTCAATATTAGTTACATGATTTAAAACATTACTATTTACGAATTAAATATCAAAAAATATCAATATAAAAGAAATACAAACTTTTACTTCCGTTTCCTTCTTCACTACCTTTACGTGTGTTCGTAATACGCTTATTACCATTTTTTTCAAGAACACCTTTAGTAGAATCACCATTATTTATTAAATCTTTACACATCATTAATACGGTTTCACTTTCAGGTCTTTTTTCAGGATCCATATCCCAACATAAAGTATATAACTTTAAATAATCGATAGGAACATCTTTAGTAGGTAATTCTCTTAAACCTTTTATGATAGCATTAGCTAAATCTTGAGCAGGGGGATTTCTACGATCAGAAAAAGGAGTACGACCACATGATAATTCCCAAAATAAAACACCTAAACTATATATATCAGATTTTTGAGATAATAAATTATAATAAGAAGCATGAAGTTGAGAAAAATCGGGAATTTGAATTGAAGTAGAAGTAGTAGAAGTAGTTTGAGATGAATTAATTGTTGACAAATAAACAGATAAAATTTGTGGATCTGTATATGATATTTTACGAATATTACTAATAGGGTTAGATGAAGTTGAAACTACACTATGAGTTATGCCAAAATCGGTTAATTTCAATTTTTGTTGAATGAACATTACGTTTCGTGAATTCTAAAAATAATTTTTTTTAAAGAATTAAAGAATTGGAAACGTTAATAATAATTAATAATAATAATTAATAATAATTAATAATTAATTTGATAATAATTTGACAAATAATTCGAAAATAATTTGATAAATAATTTGATAAATAATTTGATAAATAATTTGATAATAATTAAATAATATTTTAAAATGAAACTTAAAATTACCAGATTTCCGTGAACTATATTATTAGCATGTAAATATCTTAGTCCTTCGGCTATTTCTTTTGCCATCGTTAGTTTGTCGTTCCACGATAGTTTTTTAAAGTTTTTCGACAAATATTCTTGTAATGAACCACCATCCGCGTGTTGTAATACCAAAAGGTATATCGATTGAGGTGATTCTTAAGTCGAAAAAGTCAAAAGCGTCATAAGTATTATATAAGAATTATTATAGATATGGATGAAATATCAAATAAAAGAATTTACCTTGTGTTAAACCAGAAATACGAATTATTCGTTCGTTAAAATCGACATTCAGATGCCATTGTAACTGTACAAAAACGATGTTATTAAATTAAATTAAATTGAAATTAAATTGAAATTAAATTAAATAAGATTTTAAGGAAAAAATAATTTAATACCTCTCTAACAAAGGATTCCCTTAAATTTTCGGGTAAATTTATAATATTTTTCAATTCTTTAACAACCACACGTTTTTTCATCTTTCTCCATTTTAAACTTTTGAAAGAACTAATATCACCATTACTTCCACGTTCAATAATTTTTGGATCTTCGAATTCCTCGAATGGAATAAATTTTACATAACGAAGGTGAACTAAATCATCCAACCATTTTTGATCAGATATTTCATGATCAGAAGTAAAATCTTGCGAATTTGATTGAGGTAAATGAAACGATTTAATCGATTTTTTATCAGTAGTTCTAGAGTTTTCACTACTCTTACTACTTGATTTGCTTTTTGTACTATTCCAACTCGTGTTGGGATTCATTTTTTCGAAATTGTATATATTTATAATTTTGGATTTTGAATTTTTTCGCGGTATTTAAGTTATTTAAGTTATTTAAGTTATTTAAGTTTTTTGTTTTTTACGAATAGTTTTAAATAAATGTTTTAAAGAATGTTTTAGAATGTTTTTTTAGAATATTTTTAAAAAAGAATAATTTAAAGATTTTGCCAATAAGAAAAAAAAAATTAAATTGTTATAACGATATGATGAATATAATGAATAGAATGAATATGATAAAAATAATGAGATAATAATGAAATAATTATGAAAAACGAAACGATATAAGAATTGTAAATGCTATTAAGAAACGAGACCATCTGCTGTGACAGTAAATTATATATATAATTCAATAAATGGATACGATATACGATAAAATTGATAAACTTGATAAAGTATGAATAAAAAGAAAAATGTTTAATTTTAATTCTAATACTAATATAGAAGTTAAGACTAACGATAACAATAATTCTCTAAAAACTCTAAACTATTATAGATAAAAATACAAAAAGATAAATAAGCAAAAATACAAAAAATAAATAATATAAATAAAAAAAATCTTAATTTTTAAAAAGAAAGTTTTTAAAATTTTAAAATTATAAAAAAAAAAGGAAAAATTTTTGTTTATGATAAATAATCAACTGTCAACAGAAGACCAAAGAAAAAAAAAAAAAAAAAAAAAAAAGAAAAAAACAATTAAAAAAAAAAGAGCGCGAAAAATAAGTTCGGAAAAAGGAACAATTGTTTAATAAGATGTGCGCATTATATACTCGTTATATGGCGAAAATGTAATGCCTGCTAGTTCGTCATTGTTGTTGTGTCAAGTTTACCAAAATTTTTATTTATTTACATATTTATTATAAAGTAGATGTAACCTGTTATTGTACGTATATATGTGGGGAGTTTACCGAAGAATTAGAAATTTTAATTTATATAATATGATGTGTAAGTGTTGGTACTGTACTACGTACAGTAATAAAATTTGACAAATTGACAAAATGTGATACGTGCGCCGGGGGATTAACAGGTTTTTTTTTATGCCGATGAGACTCTTTGGCGTTAGTGTGGAGATAATGAAATAATGAAAGATAGTGTTTCGAGTTTGAAACTAACCGACTAACCGTTATTTGATTGTGTTTTTTTTTGCTTAACACTTGTGCAGCCTTACATATTAATAAAATTATAAATTACCTAGTTTGGATGGACAATTAAAATTTAATGCATTCATACTATAAGGTTAAGATTCAGTTTATTTATACATACGTACGTACGTACGTACGTTAAAAAAAAAAAGAGAATTTTTAACTTTGAATATTAATGCATTAAATTATTCACACTTAAGTATCCCTAAGTATTGATGCATAAGATTAATGTTTTACAATAGTAATACAGAATCGACACACAGTTATAATAATATTTAAAACATTACAAAATCTTAAGGGAAAATAGTTAGGGTGAGTATAATTTTAATTTGATGCACAAAAGTGTTTGATAACCGTTTATACGTAGATTATCATATTTTCTAGATTGTTATATAGGTAGTACAAACAGAACAACGTTTTGATTCCTTAACTGAGTTACAAATAGGTATGACTGGCGTTAAATAACGTACATACGTACGTCGTATATATGTGCGTACGTACGTACGTACGTATTACGCGCATACATAGTGCATTAAAAAATGAATCCCTTACCATCCGGATTAGATATTGTCGATAATATGAAGATTATTACTAAAGAATTTGAAGTTCAATGAAACTTTATGTACGTAGGTGAATATTATATGAATAAAAAAGTCTGATTGGTGATGAAAATCAATACTTTCAAGTAATTCGTAACACATAATAAAACGATAAATTGTTCTAAAATAAGATAAAAAGATTACACATAACACCTTTTTTCCATAATAAAAACAAATGTTTTATCATTGTTATCAAACTTCTTAGTTCGTAATTAATATCACCTCATTGCTTTTTGTCAGGGAACTACGTATCATTTTTTTCATTGTACTTAGTGTTCGAACAATGGACTTTATGACGATCTGACACTTAAATAATGTAATCCTAAACAAGGACGCTCTAGAACAATGAATAAATTAATAGACAATACATATGTGTGTTTATTAATAAATGATATAAATAGAAAATTTGATAATGACTTTTACCTTGATTTAGAATAATTAGAATAATTTCTGATAGATTAGTTCATTTTACGTACGTACGTACGTACAATATTATTTATCTTTTATGCTTTATACGTATGTAAGTACGTACGTACGCACCTGTTCTGTTATGAATCAGCTTTAGCATACGTACATACGTACGTACGTATGTACTTATGTACACATTTTTTCTATTTATTCTCTTACTATTTATTGTCTCATTATGGTTCTCTTACTACGTATTTATTGTCTCATTATGGTTCTCTTACTATTTATTCCCTTTTTGCGCATAACCAAATCCGTAATTTTTATTTTAATATCGTTTTCTTTAGCAAACAAGCACATCCCCCTTTAATCCTTTTTTTATACTGACTAATTTGGTGAAAAACAATAAAGAGTTAAGTTTGGTATGCAATAAAGGAATAAATGAAATTTACTTGTCTCCGTATGATAAATTTAACAACTTTGGTTAAAGTAATGTTTACCAAAAATATTTTTAGACTAAGAAATCCCACGACAAACTACATACGTACGTACGTACGTACATATCTTATTCATGATATAATCAAAAAGTATATTAAACAAAGAATTCTATTACGTATCCGATACTAACGTTAATATACAAAGTAATCCGGAACATGTTTCACACAAAGTCTGGTATCCGGATATCCGATATGTTATAAATTTAGTCATTGACTTTATCTTCAAAATCTTGTGATTGAATAGCATTGCATTTGCATTGTATACCTATACATTTTGGTAATAGATCGTCGGTACTGACCTGATAAAGAGTTATTGGTGTTTAATTCGTTACATATTGGGACATACCGTTTAAATGAGTTTCTAAAAAAAGTATAGGCGTTATTAGGCATAAATCGTAAATGTCTTATCGTTATCAAAGAATTGCCTCTCCAATTAGAAACAGCAATAGCGATACAGTAGTAATTATCCAATAACGATAACGATAAGGGTCAATTAGTTTTAAAAGAATAGAAACATGTGATTGTACACATGTGTTTTAAATACGTACGTACGTACGTATTCAAATTTCCGTTATTATTACTTTCTAATTAATTGTCCCTAATGTAAATGCATATACAAAATCTTAATAATTTTAGAAAAAAAAAAAAAAACGCTTAACGTTAAGCTTGTACGTCGTACGTACGTACGTACGTATGATTCATACGTACATAAATACAAGTATTATAAGGAGTAAGTTCTGAATGGTTCCTAATATAGTTGTTTTGTTCTATTATTGAAATTAGTGACTCATTTTCAAGCTTGTCACACATTTCGTCATAATGCGCTAATAGAACTATTTGTCCTCAGTTTTCACTTTATTTTGTCAATGCAACTCATGAAATTTGAATCTTTTGAAATTTACGTTCATTGGAAAAGTATCTCCATGTGGTTGTGAATGATTTAATGTATAATAAACCATACGTCCTAATAGTTCCTAATAGTTGATAACAATATTAACATAATTAATTACGTACGTACATACTTATGTATTTCGAAAAATATAATTTCATGTGAATAAATGTTAGTGCACATATGATCGCATCGTGCCTACGATTTTAATTGCATTTAACAACGGTTCACATGATTAACTTCGAATATGCTACGTTAATAAAAAAACATGAAATTAAAAAATGTTATCTATTTACATATCAATTTTATAATAATTTATAATTTTATAATTAACAATGAAGACAACTATGAACAAAGTATTATGAAACGCAGCAATTCTAATATCGTTTTATTCAATGTGATTAGATAAAACCGTACATAAGTTGTCAATAAATTATAATAATTGTCTCGGTTAAAGCTAAGCCGAAAATTCGTCTTATTTTAATATGAAAATTTTAATTAATTTTTTTTTAGGGTAATAAATTAGTGACCCCACTTTCCAGCTTCAGCCGTTTCCAGTTTCGGCTGACAATAATTGTTTTTAATTAAAAACTGTTGGAAATTGATGCTATGCTTGCTCTTTAGTCAAAATTCATATGCAAATGCATCTCTCGTGTTTTAATGTATCATATGAAGCGCTGCCATTTATGTTTTTGTTCATGAAATTTTGCCATATTGCCATAGCTTTAATACAATCATAAGAATATTATGCTTGAGATCGAAACGCGTGCAGGCGAATATTTGATTACGTTATAGCATGGAGCGTGATAGAGCATGCCATGATGGCATTCTGCCACAGATTTTGACAAAAGGCATGCCACATGGTATGCACCATAATGTGGAAGTATCAGTCTTTAAAAGTTCTTATTTTTTAACTTAAATAATAAATATTAAAATATTAGCCTATGACTAGTTCTTATTAGTATTATGACATATTTGCTAGTTATAGGTTATTATTACCTATTATTATGAATTGCGTATAAACTTTACTATTGCATTATTACCACCTTGATATTTTAAAGCTGGATATAACCTAAAATGACCAACACTGCTTCACAGCGTACGTACGTACGTATGTATGTATTTGTGCAAGTTTAACCTTTTCAGAATTTTAACATAATGTTGCGTAATATATTAAGTCTATCATGATAATCGCGAACTTGGTCAAAATCATTAGTTAAGGCATGGTAAAAAACGTCAGCAAAGTGACTCGAAAAACCAGTTCCCGATGAACTTAATAATTATCTTGAATCTAATAAGTTTACGTATCCTATAGAAATTACCTCTGGGATTTCGGCAAAGTACTTTAATAAAGTGAAAAAGACCGTGAATTAACAGTCGCATTAATTCTTTAGAGTCAATGCAAGTATAAACATGTAAGTTTAAACTATTACAAAACATTTATTACCATCCA